GAACAGGGCTCTGTAGCCAGTTTCGCCAACACTATATAGGTTCAGACTTGGCCTAGTTATAACAAAAGTGTGTGTACTAAATTACAACCATTTGCACAACACAAACTAGTTGTTACATAGGAGTTAGTTGTGACCAGGTGTAATGTTCCACAAACGACACAAAATCTTTACTAGCTAAGGTATTTCTTGATTTTAGATAGTGTAAAGTGATTTAATAAATCACTAGTAAAGTTAAGAACTAGTAATGGGTTTTCAAATAAGATGGTTCAACCCAATCCCTGCTAAGTGTGTATTCTATTCCCAGGTTACACAGCAGTGATGCCTTGGCAGGGCATCCCTCTGGAAGAGACCATGCCAGATTGTGAGCGTGGAGACACCTACACAGTAGATGAGCTCAAGCTGCTGGAAAAGCAGACTAGCCCCCCAGACTACCTGACTGAGGCCGAACTCATCACCCTCATGGAGAAACATGGCATTGGTATACAACAGCACTGCCTGTTAGACATAATTCCTGTTTATATGTTCTTACTGAAATGATTTATAATAGAGGAAGCAGGCTACAGTTAGAATCTGGGATTTAAACATGAGCAAAGAGAGCTTCAGACAATATCAGCAGGTCGACTACAATGATAGAATTAAAATGAAAGCAGTGTTAACTGATATTTTTTTTTGTTTTTTTTTTGCCACATGGGGTCAGAGGAACTTCACAACAAGATACATAATGGTTTACAAATTACCACCTGATAAAGCTGATATGGCAGTCGTCTTGGCAAGCAGTTGTCTGTATACACATACAGCAGACCACAGAGCAACGCTGTCATTCTTTTTGAGTTGTGTACGCACTCTGCACTTCTACAGAATAGTTCTGTCTTTTTTAATCTCACACAACAAAACAAAAACAAAAGACGGCCAAAGCCGACCCAGAACGGGAAACGTAAAGTCCCCAGAAAAACAGTCCAAACCAAAGAAACCCTTTAAAGCATAAGAAGGACAAAAAAAACGATGCAACAGTACTGAGCGTAATAACTGCTCACAGCGTTCAGTGAGGAGCACAGATCAGAGAGTCTATAATCCTGAGTTTTTGACATGAACACGAACTGGCGTTACTAGCAGGACAACATATGATAATCTGGCGACGAGGACGCACAAACGCTGACCCTATATACTGCTCCGATAATGGAGAGCAGGTGTGCCTCGTCGCCTGGAACGCACCCTCACCTGTGCGGGGGTGGAGCTGCTGGAACTACCTGTGCCTGCCATCGAGGTACAGGGGGCGGCCTGGGTCACGGATGTGACAGTATTAGCTCAAAATTGAGCTTGTAGGCAATGGTGACTAGAGCTGAGATATTGACTAGAGCTACAACAATTAGCCAATCAATCAACCAATAGAATCTGACTGATTAAGTTGAATTAATTAACTAATTGAATAAATAATTTATTAGCATGTTTATCTGTCAGTATGACAAAGTCTTTGTGAGTGGCACCTCAGTCCAGCCTGTGGAGTACAGCTGTGTGCCAAAATTAACTGTGCTGCATGGTGCACTGTGATTATATCACATCTATTCTATCCATTCAAACTTCTGTCACAAATGAACCAAAGCTAACAAAAGCCTATAGACATTCAAGAAACCGTGATAAATCATTTAGCTCCAGGGTTGAAACGTTCAGCTAAACTACGCAGCGCTGAAGCAGCAACTATGGATGAAAAGACATTTATGTAACAAGCTAGTTTTCAAACTACATCTTAAATTCACAGGCGCTGCAGAGCTGAAACCTCAACAAAGTGAGAAAACCTGTTCACTAACACTGTAGAGTACAACGTATTCAGAGCCTTCAGCACTAATACCGCTATAAAAATACTCCACTGCAACTTCAAGGACGACAGTGAAAATGTTAGTCAAGTAAAATTCAGTATAATCAGGAAAATGCACTTAAAAGCATCAAAAGTAAAGTTACTCAGTGGAGGAAAATGTCCTCGGTAACTATCATCCTCTTATTGTTTTTAATACATTGATGTGTAAGTAGAGCTGGGGCTGGATGAGCTTAGACCTGAACCAAATTATTCAGCAATATTTGTTATAATCAATGTATTACTTCTTATTTTGCAGTCAAAATAAGTCGCATATTCTGTTTTCAGCCTCTCATATGCTCTTATTTGTAATGTATCATTATAGTTGCATTAATCTTTGGTATTTGTACTTGGTCAAACAAGACAAAGTTTTAATGTCTGATTCTGCAAAGTTGTGATGGTCTCTTTTTT